GACTGGATCAATCTCCTGTAGTTCAGGGTGGCCTTCAATTCCTGATCTTTCTGCTTCCTCCTCCCAAGTGCTGGGATTAAAGGTCTGTGCCACCACTGCCTGGCCCTTATGGTTAACTAGGGGCTAGCTCTGCCCTCTGATCTCCAGGTAAGCTTTATTTGTCAAAACACAAGCAAAATATCATACAACATGCTTGCATTCATGTGCTTGTACCATCACATGGATACACATGCACACAGGCAATTAAAAAAATTAAGCTGAGCAGGGTGGCTCATGCATTTAACCCCAGCATTCAGGAGGCAGAGACCGGTGGATCTCTGTGAATTCAAGGCCAGCTTGATCTCCATAGCAAGTTCCAGGCTAGGCAGGGTTAGATAGTGAGATCTTGTCTCAAATAAACAAATGAACAAACCCAAAGGAGGGTTTGTAGAGCCCTTGCCTAGAGTATAAATTCCTAGCCAGCACTGGACAAACAAAAGCTCTTGTATGATATTAAAAGGACCAGCCTTAATGTTATACTTCCCAGGGGCTCAGGAGAGAAACTATGAACGGTGAGAATTATTTTTGGAAAAAGAATGTAAGTACCTCATGCTCTTTGTCCATCTATTTTATTCCTCTGAGATAAAATCCTATCTACACAGCTTCAGTTCTGTTCTCAAGCCTAGTTCCTTTCTTGCCTGATTTCTCTCTATATTTATCTACTGTCCCCTCTAAGTTCTATCTTAATTCTGCCTAATCTTAATTCTGCCTCATCTAGGTCCTTCTCATCTCATTCTTACCCAGTTAGTACTTCCCCATCTGGCTCTTCCTCATCTTCCATCTCGTCCACATGTTCTCTCTGGTCAAAATCCTCCTTATCCCTCTCAGTTCTCCGTCCTCAAGTTCTCCATTCCTCCCTTCCTCTTTGTCTCCTTATACCTCTAAGTTCTCCCAAGTCTCTGAGGTGTTCAGTTATAAACCCAAGCCATAGCAATCCTCCCCCTCCAGCCAGGTCACCAGGCTTGAATTCCTACAGGGTCATAAAGGCAGGTAAGAATTTTCCTCAGGCAGTGCCTGTCAGGCTTTCTTTTACAACCCAAAATGGAGTGTTTAAGAGGAGGTCAATTGAGAGCTAATGTATATCAAGAAGGGATCTGTGTGCTCAGTGATTAGGTAAGAAATTAGGAGTCTATTAGTAAGGCTGTAAAGAAGGAGGATCTCACCCTAAATTGCACAAGAATAAAGCTATCCTCCTGACCTAGGAGACAGGTGTTGTTTGGTTTGGCCTTGGGTGCTTGATAGGTATTTTAGATAAATACACTGTTAGGAGTTCTTGGAAGCATGCATAGCATTACAAGAAATTCACTGTAAGAACCAGCTGCTAAATAATCACCAAGACTTCTGAAGCCATGGCTTGACCTTTGGAGAAGTCCTTGACTTTTCCAAGTAGTAGCTTTTGTGATAGTAGCTGAATTCCATTACGTCTTCCTGCAGCTTGCAGCAAAAAATAAAACACGAGAAAAAGGACTCACTTGGTACAGTGCTGGCCTTGCTGACCTGGAATGCATGAAGACACGGATTCCATCTCCAGCACTAGGGTGAAAGTGGGGGCATGTAATCCCAGCACTTAGCAAAAGAGGAAAGAGAATCTTCTGTCCCGAGTCATCCTTGGCTACACAGGAAGTTTGAGGCTAACCTGGGATACATAAGACTCTGTCTCAAGGGGAAAAAAAAGACAAAGAAGTTAGCCAGATATGATGTAATGTAGAAGGATAATGGGATACATGCTCAACTATGTTCTTAGCAGCACTTTTGTCATAGCCAGAACCTGGAAATAACCTAGACACCCGTCAACTGAAGAACGGATTAAGAAAATGTGGTACATATACCCAATGGAGTACTACTCAGCAGAGAAAAACAATGACAGCATAAAATTTGCAGGCAAATGGATGGAACTAGAAAATATCATCCTGAGTGAGGTAACCCAATCCCAGAAGGACAAACATAGTATTTACTCACTCATAAGTGGATTCTAGATATAAAGCAAAGAACAATCAGACTGCAACCCACAGAACCAGGGAGGCTATATAGCAGAGGTGACCCTAGGCTGACTGTGGCTTATAATAAGTTTTAGTTTTACTCAATAACTGGGCAAGCCTCAGTGAAACATTTCACTATTAGGATAAGAATTTATACTGTATCAAGCTGATAATAGAAAAATAAATAATAAATAAAAATGGGGGGAAAAAGGTAATGAGAAATTGATGGAGACTTTCTGAATTGATGTCAGGGCAGGACAATACAGATGTCTCTTTAAAACAAGAGGATGTTCACAGAGTGTAGCAGAACATACTGCCTTCACAAGCCGACGAGTGTTTCGTTGGCTAAGTGTCATGTCCTTTGCAATTATCTTCTGGGAAAAGGCTCAACTGGTAACATATAAAAAGCAGCTCTTTGTCCAGTAAGAAAAGTGTAAATATTACACACTGGTATCTTATGCACTATGGATTTGATAATTAGAGCTGTAACAGTATAATGGGCTAAGAATAAAGAGTCTGCCCTCTGCTCCCCAAGTAAGCTGAGTCTTACTTTTTGCTGATTTTCATTCCAGTGTCCCTGGTCTCCTTGACCCCAATCTTTCATAGGAAATTGATGATTTAACAGCTAAAACAGCCTTCCTGCTAACTGCCCAAGTTGATGCATGTCCAGAGGGAACTTTCTTGCATGGACAAACATGTGTCCTGAGTTCTCCCCATGGATCATCTATGGAGCCCGTAAGATTAACTCTGCAAGGAACCTGACAGTACCTGGTTGCCTAAAGGACATGCTGTCAGTAGACTTTCTTTGTTGTAACTTTGTCTAATGTCCTGGGAGAAACTGGATCTGGAGAATGAAAGCTTGGGTAGAATGGGTTGATGTTACAGTGCACACACACTCAACAAAAGTGGTTGATACTCTTGCATTGCAGGACATCCCCAGCCTCAACAGTACACTTTTCCCTTAGATGGGATGATGGGAATGCCGTTCTGTATGCTGTGAATGTGTGTTGCTTTGATTTGGTTGATAAATAAAATGCTGATTGGCCAGTAGCCAGGCAGGAAGTATAGTATAGGCGAGATAAGCAGAGAGGAGAATTCTGGGAACAGAAAGGCTGAGTCAGGAGTCGCCAGCCAGACACAGAGGAAGCAAGATGTGAAGGCAGAACTGAGAGAAGGTACCAAGCCACGTGGCTAAACATAAATAAGAATTATGGGTTAATTTAAGTGTAAGAGCTAGTCAATAGTTACCCTGAGCTAATGGCCAAGCAGTTTTAATTAATATAAGCCTCTGTGTGTTTACTTGGCTCCAAGTAGCTGCAGGGCCTCGGGAGCGGACCAGGAAAACTTCAGCAACAATGGGACATAGAGACCCACAGGAGTAAATGCATGCTAGCTTTGTTACGGGGTAAGGAAGCATGGAGAGGTACGAGTTGGCAGATTCTGTTGCTCTTGTTCCCAAATATACAGGCCGGCATATTGGAACCTCCTCATCAGCAGGGATGGTGAATTACTCCTCATGTCTCACATGGCAGGGTAGTAGGTGCTCACCCCCCCACCCCCCTCCACCCCCACCACCCTGGTGAGGCCTCTTCCAGCCTGTAACAATGTCTTGAATGTCTCAGGCAACAGAGGGGATGTAGCAATCACTCAACACTCACTGTGTCCTGAGCTGCCACAAGGGGGTGCTGTGGACAGGGCAGCATTACTCAAGCTGCCACTCAACTGGTACAGGACCCTAGCTGGAATTAGTTCAACTGCGCATGCCCTTTACCCGACTGGAGCCTTTGCCTCTCCTCCTCTTAGCAACACTAACCCCAAGGTTGAGAGAACGCTACCCGGGTTCCTTGATGTCTACACCGACTCTAGGAGTCCCAGGGAGTTACAAATGAATTTAAGGCTGAAAATCAAGTAAGACAGACTGTCATCCGGTGGCTGACGGTACACAAGAATGTAAAATAACCAACAAAAGATGTATCAACCGTACCAGGGATGCTCTTTAATGAATATCCAGCCAGCAAGATGCCACCAACAGAATGGCTTGAGAACAGAATCAAACTTTGTACGATGTTAACAAAAAAAGGTGAACACCACATACATGGAGACTTAAGTAGAATGCCCATTATCAGGGGCTGTAGGAAATGGAATATGTTTAGAAATGGTTTGGAAACTGACAGTGGTGGTGTTTGCACAATAATATAACAATGTTTTATGCCAATGAATTGTACACTTCAAAATGGTTAAAATGGGAAGCCATTCAAATTCACAGCCCCCCCCCCCAATACTGTTAACAGAAAACAAAAATCTTGTTCAAGGTCACACTGTAAATGCCAATCTCAGGATAGAAACAGTCCAATTGGGCCTTTACACCATGGGTTTTCCATCAGTGGGTGGAACAAACTGAGAATCAAAAGTATTCAGAAACCAGCTATGTGCTCGGTGAAGCAGGGGAAGACCCTTCTCCTGTCGCTCTTTCTCGCTTCACATGGGTGACGGTGTCTCGGCAGCACTGGTGTTAGGAATCAGAAATGATTTGAGCTCATGGGAGGATAGGTTTGCTTCTATGTAAGCACTGCACCATTTTTAACAGAGGATTCAGAATATCCAGAAGTCTGAGGGGCTCCTGAAATCAGTTCCCCATGGTTTTCTAGGATTAGCCATACTTGACTCAGAACCTAAGCCCTTAGTTAACGCCTTTGCAGTTTTGCTTACTATATTGGATTTTATTTTATTTTATTTTATTTTATTTTATTTTATTTTATTTTGAGATTGGGTGTCTCTTTGTAACCCTAGCTGGTTAACCTAACCTTGTACTCACATTCCTCCTGACTCATGTCTAACCTGGGGTTCCAGGTCTGTGTCCTCACACTGGCTGTCTTGCTGTCTTCACTGATGACTTTCCCCCTGGAACGGTTCTTCATTTTCCATATCATTGACAAAGAAATTCCCCACCCACCCCCAGTGTGGTGCCTGGAGAGAGGAGAGGTCACTCACTGGTCACAGACATTTGGATTGGGAGACTCGTCTTAGAACTGTACCCATTGGAGACCTCACACTGATACTCTCCAACATCCTCCCTCCTGACCGGATCTATAATGAGTCGACTGTTTTTCTGGGACAGCGTCATCCTGCCATTGAAATACAGGCTCTGGTGATTGAAGAGCCAGCGGATGGAGAGTCCAGGGTCTTCTGAGAGGCAGGTGAGGGCCAGAGAACCATCTTCTGTTACTGTGGTGTTGTCTGCTTGGAGGATGGGCTGTGTCACAGGCTCTGTGAAGGAACAGGGGAGGGGACGGAATGATGGTGGTTCATCCTCAGATCCCAGCCAGCCCTCTCTGGTCCAGGGACACCTAGTAAGGCCTCCAGGGTAGAGAAGTTGGGCCTGAGGCCATAGACAGACATGTATTTCTTCGATCTGCCACCCATGTGTGTGCAGCCCTGATTCCGCTCCTGTGCTGTGTCTCTGTTTCCATATAATAGGACACATGGCTGGACAGCAGTGGTGCACGCCTCTAATCCCAGCGCTAGGGAGGCAGAGGCAGGCAGATCTCTGTGAGTTTGAGGCTGGCCTGGTCTACAGAGCGAGATCTAGGACAGCCAGGGCTACACAGAAAAATTCTGTCTTGAAAACAAAAATAATAATAATAATAATAATGCCCATGATAAATAATCACTGCCATGTCTGCAAAGTGACCTTAAATATGAACTAGGACCTGATCTTCAGAAGGGGGAACTTCCCAAAAATGTCTGAGTCTGTCACTCTGCCTACAGGAGAGAGTTGATTGGGCTGGACCCCTGAGGACAAGCTGTTGGCAGGAGGAACTGTGTCCTCATGAACCCCTCAGAACAGCGGGGCTCTCTATGCTGAGTCTCAGAAAAAGATGCCCAGGTGACCTACCCGAACTGTGACTCATCATTCAGGGCATGGACTGGTTCCTCCCAACAAGAGTCAAACAATACAGAGATCCCGAGTCAGGACTTTGTTGTGGTCCCCTCATTATGAGGGCCCCACGGTTTCCGCAGTCAGGCCCTGCCTGAATCCAACTGTCTTTCTCAGGGCCATGTTCCTGGTGAAGCCCCAAGAGTTTGGGCTAAGGGTGACACCTCAGACTGAGTTACAGAGCACACACACACCCTCCTCTCTGGAGGCAGAGTCAGGTACAGGACTCTGACCTACTGTACTTTTTTCTCCCCGGTGTGTGTCCTGCACTAAATGCTCAAATTCCCACAAGGAGGCACATGCAGGAGACAGGCATCGTCTATGCCTGGTGGTCCTGTATGTGTAAAATGGAATGAACCCCACCCCGCACCCAGGGGTCACACCCCCCACCCAGAGGTCACACAATCACTTACTGTGGACTTCCAGATACACGTGTGTTAGTTCGCTTTCCATTTCTGTGTTAAATGTTAGTAAGGTGTAGAATCCGCTGTCAGCCTGGGTGACGTTTCTGATCAGCAGGGATCCACTGTAGAACACCGTTTTCCTGCCGCTGTGTTGAGGCATCTTCGAAGTTGTGTTATCGGGTGTTAAGTACCGGGCAACTTCATAGCTCTTCGTCGGATCTTTCTGTTTGTACCAGTAAAATGCCTGGACGTTCAGCGGCATTTTGTGCACAAACAGAACGGAGTTTCCGCCTTCAGCCACCATGGGAGGCACTAATTCAATAGTGAGCTGGGCAGTAGTAGGTGCATTCCAGCAGGTCAAGAGGGAGGCTGGGGAGAGAGAGAGAAACTCCATCAGTGTGGGGACCTTAGTGTTTGGTGATAAGAGGACACTTAAGTCCTCAGCAGAAGTGTTCATCTCTCAGCCTAGGTGTGTGGCCAGGGTGTGCCTCTCCTACGCGGTGCAGGAGAACTTCTTCACCCACATTCTCCCGTTCCCTGCAGTTGCTGGGTCCTCTGCATGGAACTCTCTCCAAGTGTCTGCATGGCTCCCCGCTCACTGCCCTCAGGTCTCTCCTCACACCCAAGAGTGTGTTTGGGGTTGAGGATGCCTTCCCGACCTCCTCCTCTAGAGACCCTGGTCTGTCATGACCTGAATGTTGTTAGTTTGTTCCGTATGTTTACAGTCAACCCCTGGCTGCACCTTCCGGAAGACCTTGTGTCTTCCTTCCAGTCCATGAGAAGTAGGGCTTTGTGAGTACAGGGGAAGGAAGGGCCTTTGGGAAGGCCATGTGCCTGGGAAAGACTCAGACTTCTGTGGAAGAATGAATGAATGAATGAATGAATGAATGAATGAATGAATGTGCAAGGCCAGGGGGTATCCAGGGGCTTATTACAGAATTTTTAGTTTTAAAGCTAATGACAGTGTTTAATACCCCAGTTAGACTTAAATTATTTTTCGTAAATTTACATGTCTGTGTGTAAGTGTCTCTGTCCATGGTTGTTTTTGTGTCTCTGTGTGTTCTCTGTGTGTGTGTCTCTACATCATTGTGCTGACATATCACATAGCCTAATTAAAATTCAAACTCAGATCAATTCCTTCCCAGAAGGCCTCCTACAAGACCGGAGAGCCTAAGATTTCATGGTGACTGAGAAAGGAGAGGAGTTTGCCTTTTTCTAGAGCATCGGTTCTCAACCTTCCTAATGCTGCGACCCTTTAATACCGATCCTCATATTGTGGTGACCCCCAAACCATAAAAATTATTTTCGTTCCTTCCTCATAACTGTGATTTTGCGGCTGTTATGAAACATAATATAAATATCTGACATGCAGAATACTGCTTTTTGACCCCTGGGAAAGGGTCATTCGACCCATACAGGAGTTGCGACCCACAGGTTGAGAACCACTGTTCTGGAGGAAGCACTATGCTGCATGGGAACCACGGGCACCTGGGCAGAGAAGGAGCAAAGAGGCCATGGTTGCGGCATCCAAACTCAGGCCAAAGCCATCCAACAGTGGTTCCCACAGCATCACAACTGCATGCAGCTCCTGGTGGACGCTGGATGGGACTCCTCTAATAACCACCCGATGCTCACAACCCTGGGTCCCTCCTTAATGCAGACCTGAACCGGTTCATCTATAATAGAGTCCAACAGACTGCTCAGGCACGTGGACAACACCCTCCTGACTCGAGAGTGCCCATCAGAGCCCGAGACTCAACAACTTAGAACCCACCAAGGAACAAGGAATGAAGGGAAAAAGGGTCTTCTTCTTCATCCCCGTCAGGGTTGTGGAAGCCAGATGAGTTGGTGTCTAAGAACCATCTTTCCCATAATGTGTGTCCTTATCCTCCCCCACCCCGTGTGTGTGTGTGTGCGTGTGTGTGTGTGTGTGTGTGTGTGTGTGTGTGTGTGTGTGTGTGTGTGTGTGTATGTACACCTGCGCACGCACACACGCGCACAAAGAGGCTGGAATGTCAGTTTTGAGTTAGTGGCTAATCCGAACACATTCCCCTGGCATTTTGCACATGCTAGCCTAGCGGGCATGGGCCTGGGATGGAGTCTGTCACATGACCCTGGGCTTCTGGACTTCTGGAAAATTTTAATTCCAGGGGGTAGTAAATAGCTAACTCCCTGTCTCCCAGAGCTGCCGTTCCAGGAGATTCTGGGGTCCCCTGAAGCTGTATAAAGACAGAAACAGCCTGTTTCAGCTTGCAAGATCATCGGCTTCCTAAGTGTCCCAATTCCTGAGAGTGACAGACGCGTAGGAACATGCGATCTCAAACCTCACTGGGTTAGAGCACATCTCCTGCTCAGTGAAGGCACCTAAGGTACCCTCCTTGGCCCCACCCTGACTCCTCCCTTGCCCACAGTGACAATCCCCTCTCCCTTCCCAATGGTCTTAAAGAAGCCTCCTGTTTCCCAGCAGCCCTTATTCTTCAGTATACCACACCCTCTCCGACACTGAATAAACGTGGCTTCAAAAACAGATCTTGGTCAGTTCCTGTATCGCATCTCAGGCATCTCAGTTCTTTTCCCATGAAGAGAATCTCTCCAGGGCTGTCTCCTCCAGGGTCCCAACATTTCCTCTCTGCCAGTAATGCCAGCTCCTTCTCCTCACACAGAGGAGGCTTCCATGTCCTGTGTAGAGTCCCAGGCCCTTCTCCATCATCCTCCCACCTCATTGCCCAGTCTGTTTTAAAAGCCCCAACCCACCGAGGTCTCCCTCAGCACAACTCTGTCCCCTGCACGCCCTCCACAAAGTGACCCTCCCTGGAAACTCCAAACACCCCCACAGCACAGCATCAAGGCCCTGATCCCCATTCCGGAGCCCATAATGAGCTACAAACCCAAAAGCCTAGACCTGACCCAGAATATTTCTAGTCCTCTTATGTACCCCTCGCTGGTAAATCTCTGGTGGGAAGCACACCCCATTATCATGGCCAACCCAGTCAGGACCCCTCTGACTAACTTCCAATAAAGAATGATCTGGCAGGCCTGGCCGTGGTGGTGCACGCTTGTAATCCCAGCACTCGGGAGGCAGAGGCAGGTGGATCTCTGTGAGTTCGAGGCCAGCCTGGTCTACAGAGCTAGTCCAGGACAGGCTCCAAAAACTAAACCCTGTCAAGAAAAACCAAAAAAAAAAAAAAAAAAAAAAAAAATGATCTGGCCTTTCCTCCCCTACTAACACTCCCCGGTCCCTGGAAGCTTCCAGCTGAGCAGCCTCTGTCTCTCCATGTGTCCTCTCCCCTCAGGCTCAAGCAGAAAGAGAGTCTCCTCCCAGGCTCCCTTCCTGAGAGCGCCCTCCCCACAGCTCTCCGGGGCTGGTCTCACCTGTGAGCAGGAGCCCTTTGCAGAGAAGTAGAGAAGGGGACTCCATGGTCTCTGCTCCCCAGGGTGCTGTCCTGTGTCAACCCTGCTGGTGTTCTTGCCTCTTATTTCCACTGTCCTTAGCCCAGGGGCATCTCCAGAGTCACATGGGCTGTGAGCAGGGTCTCTGCCCAAGGCCATGCTGTGGCCTGTGCTTCCCTGTCTCCTCCTCTCCCCTCCCATCTGTCTCAAACATCCTTTCTTTAAGACTTAAGTTTTTTGTTTTGTTTTGTTTTGTTTTGTTTTGAGACAGGGTCTCATCAGGTAGTCCTGGCTGTCCTGGAACTCACTGAGACCAGGCTGGCCTCAAACTCACACAGACCCGCCTCTCTCTGCCCACAGAGTGCTGGGATTAAAGGGGTGCAGCGTTATGCTCATTATATTTCTTTTCTTTTTTTTTTTTCATTTTCTTTTTTTTTTTTTTACGATTTATTTATTTATTATGTATGCAGTGTTCTGTCTGCATGCCTGCCTACAGGCCAGAAGAGGGCACCAGATCGCATTACAGATGGTTGTGAGCCACCATGTGGTGCTGGGAATTGAACTCAGGACCTCTGGAAGAGCAGCCATTGCCCTTAACTGCTGAGCCACCTCTCCAGCCCCTAGATTGCTTTTTTAAAAAAATGTTCAAACTTCTTATTTTATGAATGATGGGTAAATGCCCACAGATATTTACATAAGTCATGGCTGGATTTCACCTTTCCTTACCCGGCACCCAGACCCCACTGCAAACCCACTGTCCTGACTGTACAGGGTCTCCAGTTCCTGAACTTCAGCCAGCTGCCCTCATGCTGACGTCCTGCATGCCTGTCTTTCTCTGCAGCTTTTGCACAAGGACATGATCACTTGGAAGAGAACCCTGGCCAGCTGGGCCTGTAGAGCAGCTCCCCTTCTCCAGACCCTGCTGCTCTCACCGCCTGTGACACAGGAGAGGAAAACACCCCAGCACCCCAACCGTCTCTGCAAATGTAATGTTTGTTTGTTTGTTTACTGCCTGTGCATCTCTCTGATCGACGTCCACACCTCAAGTCCCACCTGGTCCCTAGGGCTCTGGCTGATGTGACTTCTAGCTGTGCAGACCTCCAGGGTCACACTGGGAAATCCTGGCGGAGGTCCAGGTCGGCATCCCCCACTTCTTGCTTTGTGATAACTGGTCAGTGGCACATTGATTTGTCCTGGAGCAGATGATGGCCAGGTGTGAGGGTGGGGTAGGTGCTTCCTGGTTTTGGCTTTCTTAGCTATCATTCATCTTCCTAAGCACTGGAAAGTCTTGCAGAGCCGGGAAGGCCCTGCCTAGTGACTTTCACCCACAAAGGAACCCCAGTTCCTGAGCCCCTGCCTTGTGCCCCGATCTATCATAGACACACAGGTGGTGACTGTGAGTCTTGATCCTGTCCTTAGGCCATGAGAGAGAAAAACTCACTAAGAGACAGGAAAGAGTCTGTGTAGCCAAGGGTCTGTGGGAGCCTAGAGGGGACATCTGACTCAGCTGTTGGACATCTGAAGTAGAATCGGAAAGGACAGCAGTTCGTGAGTAGAGAAGAACTTTGTCTTCTGGCTGCCCTGTGATTGAGTCCCAAATATCCCTTTGGTTTACCACTGAATTACTTATTCATTCCTATTTATTAATTTACACTTGCTTTTTACTTTTGTTTGAGCCTAGTTACCCTGAAACTCATGGTGTATTCCCACCACCAGAATCCTCCTGCCTCAGCTTCCCAAGGGCTGAGACTGTGCACATGTAAAACTAGGGGGGCACTTCCTAGCTGTGTAGCTTTGGCTTACTAAACCTCTAAGGTCGCTGTCAGGACTATTTAGCTAACTCTGTCTAATAAACATACCTTTAATCCCAGCACTTTGAAGGCAGAGGCAGGCAAGTCTCTGAATTGGAGACCAGCCTGGTCTACAGGGTGAGTTCAAGGATGGCCATCGCTACTCAGAGAAACCATCTCCCAAAAACAGTGAGTGAATGCATGAATGAATGAATGAATAAATAAATAAATAAGTTAATTAAAAACCTTCTTAAGTGCTTTAGAATGCTCTGGACTACAACATTTATACTTTATTTTTGTTTGTTTGAAACACACTCTGGTGTTGCCCACGCTGGCCTGGCATCATCTGTGGCTGATGATGACCTTGAACTTCTGGCCCTCCTGCCTCCAGCTCCCCAGGGCTAGGGTGACAGAAAGGTGCCAGCAATCCTGGATTATGTGGTGCTGGGGTCTGACCCAGGCACTGCCCAGCTACACAGGAAGCTCAAGGCCTCTCTGGATCCTTCCACAGGAAGATGGACCCACATCCTCTTTCCAGGACACAGGTCACTTCTTCCTGCACACACAGGATGTCACACTCCTGACACCTGCTCCTGGGCACCTGTCCTGGAAGTGAACTCTGGTGACATCAGTGATCATGGATAAGTTCCCTTACACAGTCAACTCCTATTTGATCCCTTCCTAGCCCTGGGAGATAGCTCTGCATGTTGGGTGTAAATTCTACCTTCAGGGAGGTCTGGATGATCAGCTGGGTTTCTCTGTCACAAAGGTTTTGAAGAGGACAGTGGTTCCCTCTGGTTCTGACAGCCCCAGGCCAGGACCCAGCAGAGTCATCCCTGGGGTGAGCTGCTGTTCTCTCAGGGCACAGACCCTCCCCAGCCTCACTGCTCACTGTGTGGTGTGGAGGATGAAACAGAGAGGGAGGAGGGACGAGGGATGGGAGGCAGCCTGAGAGGGCAGGGGACCGAGCAGGGCCTTGGACACAGAGCCACCCACAGTCTCTGTGATTCTGGAAGGAACTCCTGCCTGGGAGGAGGCTGAGGTCAGAAGGAGGAAGACATCAGAAATGACGGCAGAGCATGGAGCTGGGGAGCAGGGCTGAAGCTTTTCTCCACACAGGGAGGACTGAGGAGTCAGCAGAGACCATTAAATCCCTTCCCTCCTAAGTGCTGGGACTAAAGGAGGGTGCCACTAAGGCCAGCTAAGGTTTCTTTTTTAAAAATGTGTTCAAACTTCTTACTGTATAAATGATTAATGAAGGCCCACAGATAATAAAGAAGTCATGGCTGGATTTCACCTTTCCTTACCCGGCACCCAGACCCCACTGCAAACCCACCGTTCTGACTGCACAGGGTCTCCAGTTCCTGAACTTCAGCCAGCTGCCCTCATGCTGACGTCCTGCATGCCTGTCTTTCTCTGCAGCGTTTGCACAATGACAGGATCACTTGGAAGAGAACCCTGGCCAGCTGGGCCTGTAGAGCAGCTCCCCTTCTCCAGACCCCACTGCTCTCACCGCCTGTGACACAGGAGAGGAAAACACCCCAGCACCCCAACCGTCTCTGCCAATGTAATGTTTGTTTGTTTGTTTACTGCCTGTGCATCTCTCTGATCGACGTCCACACCTCAAGTCCCACCTGGTCCCTAGGGCTCTGGTTGATGTGACTTCTAGCTGTGCAGACCTCCAGGGTCACACTGGGAAATCCTGGCGGAGGTCCAGGCCGGCAGCCCCCACTTCTTGCTTTGTGATAACTGGTCAGTGGCACATTGATTTGTCCTGGAGCAGATGATGGCCAGGTGTGAGGGTGGGGTGGGGTGGGGATGGGGAGATGGCTGCCCCCTAAGAAGCCTGCTTCCTGGCTCTGGCTTTCTCAGCTACCATTTGCCTTCTTAAGCACCGGAAAGAGTTTGCAGGTCAGAGAAGGCCCTGCCCAGTGACCTTCACCCACAAAGGAACCCCAGTTCCTGAGCCCCTGCCTTGTGTCCCGATCTATCATAGACACACAGGTGGTGACTGTGAGTCTTGGTCCTGTCCTTAGGCCATGAGAGAGAAAAACTCACTAAGAGACAGGAAAGAGTCCATGTAGCCAGGGGTCTGTGGGAGCCTAGAGGGGACATCTGACTCAGCTGTTGGACATCTGAAGTAGAATCGGAAAGGACAGCAGTTCGTGAGTAGAGAAGAACTTTATCTTCTGACTACTGTGAGACTGAGTCCCAAATATCCCTTCGGGTTACCACTGAGTTAATTATTCACATTTATTAATTTACATTTACTTTTTACTGTTGGTTGAGCCTAGTTAGCCTGGAACTCATTCCATATTCCCATTACACTGGTCCCCAACCAAAGAATCCTCCTGCTTCAGCCTCCTTAGCGCAGAGGCTACGCACATGTAAATCTAGGCACTTCCTAGCTGTGTAGCCTTGGCTTAGTAAACCTCTCAGGGCGCTGTCAGGAGTATTTAGCCAACTCTGTCTAATATGCCTTAAAAAATATAAAGAATAAAAAACGTTCTTAAGTGCTTTCGAATGCTCCTGACTACTACACTTATTTTGTTTGTTTGTTTTTGATTTTGCTTTTGCTTTTGCTTGTTTGAGTCATAGTCCTGGACACTGTCCTGGAACAGGACTCTGACTAGTGACACCAGTGATCACAAATGAGTTCCCTTCAACAACCATCCTCCAGTTACTCACTTCCTAGCCTTGGGAGACATCTCTGTCACCTCCCTGCTGGATGTAAATTATACCTGTAGGGTAGCCTGGATGACCAGCTGGGTTTTTGTGTCACAAAGGTTCTGAAGAGGACAGTGGTTCCCTCCGGTTCTCACAGACCCAGGCCAGGACTCAGCAGAGGTCATCCCTGCTTTCCCGTGCACAAACCTAGCTTGTGGCAGACGCATCATCACCCCTCACCTACAAACTATATAATCACCCTGATTTAGTTCAGGTGTACAGCTTCTCTGGCTCAATCTCTGGGATTGGAGAACTCACCCAGGAGTTGCTTTGCTCAAATAAACCTGTTGTTACACTTTTTCAGTTTACTTGATCTGGTTTACTTCATCAGCAGAGAAACCTATTATTAGGGGACAGAAACCCTATTATCTTGGTGCCAAAGCCCAGGAGAAGTTGAGCCTTCCAGCTGGATGGGTTGGGTCCTCCAGGCATGTGGGGGCGCCACTCCCCTCCCTTTATCTTTCTCTCCTCCAGATGTGATCAACTTACAACAGGGTAAGTCACCCACTTCCCAGCC